TCCATCTCCCCCTGAAATTCATGTAATTCCCGAAAAATCCTCTGGCCCCTCCCCCCACATGATAATACAGTGTGCGTTATGTTTTTAACCAATGAGAGCGTGCGTATTATCTCAGATATTTGATGATTCGCAACGCGTGACACATGCCTCTGTCACGTGTACGTCATCATAAGTTTTAAATGAGAAAAATAAATAAGTAAATAAATAAATAGGCAAATAAATAAATAGGTAACTGTGGAACACAGGTATAAGAAATTTCCGAGAAAAAAATTAATTAAAGGAAAACACAACTGGGTCTAATATATTAGTTAAAACGGAATTTCTTTTACCAGTGTACGAGGAAATCCACAAGGCTGATTGAAAATAAACACTTGGAAAGTTATATTTAGTATATCTTTTTGTTTTCACAACACATCAGTATTTACAAGATGGAACAAGACTGAACTCCGTCCGTACACGTGCGAAACAGGATCAGTTCAAGACGACTATTTTCCGAAAGTCAGTGTTTTACTATCCAAAACCGATGGTAAAATACTGACCTAGCCGGAAGCGAGGTGATTGGAAAAGATGACAGCGCAAGTCACCAAGATGGCAAATGGTCGGAGTAATTCTACACCCTTAGCAACTGGATACAGAAGGGTTATTAGGAGGCGAACTCTTGCGAAATGGGCTAACATTCATCTAGAGACAGTCTGTGTGTCGATACAAGACGTAACAGACCTCCACGACAGCGGAGTAGCGGCGAAACTGCTGTCGGTTCTATCGGGAAGAAAGATTGCTGTGCCAATATTTCAACCCCACAGGAAGAAACGACAGGTAGTTGGTTGGAGGAATATTTGCAGTTTTTTAGAAAGCTTGGAATTCCCGGAAGAAATCACAGGTAAGAAGAAACAGCGTATTCTGTTGGTTATCTTGCGTGACAGCGAGACGAAACTGAAATATCCCAACACCATAGTGATTCTATCGGTAAACACTCTCTCGAGATTATTCCATTGATAATATTATGGCCGATCTTATTTAAAAGACCGAACACTATTTCCTGTATGTATGTAACCGGTGTCCTTCATAACGTATAACGTCTTATTTATTCTCGTGTGCGAATCGTCCTAAAAATCAAGGCTTTCGCCGTTTCTTCTCTAAGAAGAGTGAACGCGTGAGACAAATAAGCTTATGCATCTCTCAAGATGTTCGAGTGAAATCATCGAGCTTCTCAAATGTTGTTTTGATTGCTTCCTTGATTGAATTCTTTTGGAATATTTTTAACGCTGAATTAAGTACTTTCTTCAACGTGTCAAGGCCTGCAATTAATTTTGACAGAAACCGATAATACAAGCTAGAAACTTCCATAATTTCTGTAGTTTAAACTAACAGTATTCACTCTCCAGTGTGTCACTCCGCGATAATTTTATCAAATCTTTTCGTCGAGAAGAGATCTATCCATGGTTTGTCTTGTATCCGTGTATCAAAACAACCCAGATCACGAGGGTGACATTTGCAAAATATAACAATATAATTATTGTTTCCATTCAAACAAAACAACTGATGCAACGAACGAATTAAGAAAACGGGCTTAAAGATTAAAAACTGCTCTGGTTTGACAACTGTTATTCCCAGCTGTTTCCAGGTGAGGTTTTTTCCCCTTCACAACGATATGTCACGTAATTATTCTTTGTAACGCAAATGGTCTTCGTCACGGATATGACGCCTAATGTAACGGCTTTGGAAAGGGCTCAGAGAGTGAAACTGTAGATTGCAGCCGTAGAATATATGCACGAAACTTACCGCGCCTCACTCCCGGAGTTCCGCGCAGTGCGCTAACACTGTTTTGTTTATCGTTGAATTCCAACCTCAGACGACGACATCTGTTGCACGAGTCAGACAAATCTGCCCGTAGTCCATAACACAGTCAGCTGAGCATACCGATAGAAAACACAGCTATTATTCCGATCTTGCTTTGCTAAATACATTGAGTTTTCAATTTTTTGCATTTGAATCTGTGACCAAAGCTTAGTGACAAATTCATGTTCTGACCGTCATCATTTGCAACTCGCCGGGAGGTTCTGGTCCTAATCACTTCGAGCATGATTTGAGAAAAAACAAAAAACAAAAAAACAAAACCAAAAAAAAAAAAAAAGAATTTTCAAAGATGAAAACCAGTCGGTTGATTATACCAAGATTCATTTAATATCCAAATTTTCAAGTAAAATGAAAGAAATCCACAGCATTTTATTCATCGTTTGCTTTTAGATCTCGCAACTTTGTTATTTACTCGTTTGAACAGGTGAAACGAGGGAAACAATAAAAACCATACCCGAGCTGAGCTGGTCATGTTCTTCGATATTTCATTAGTTTCCTTTACTGCACTTATTAAATTATTTGACTGTGTTTTGATTGCCTGGAAAATTGAAAAAAATATCTTTAGGCTTGTGCAGGAGATGGAGGTGCAAGTTTGCAGTTCACGAAAGTCGCAGTAAGCGTGTTATGTTACCTGTTATACACGTAATGGAAATGTATGGAAATTATTTTCAGAATATGTATATTTGTTCCCTATGCAAATATCAAAAACGCTTTGACATCTGCATGACATGTGCTCAAAGCCATAAACTTACACCGACACTCTCTCGGTGTTTACACTTGTTCGCTCTTTCGAACGATTCTCAACATGATTTACTGCACGGGAGACTTATAAAGTAGCAAGAAGTCGCTCCATTGGGACCTAAATGGCAAATTTCGTTTTTCATCCTCGTGGATAAACACAGGCGAGAGACGAAGCAAAATTGCGAGGTATTCTTGATTTTATTACTTTTATTTTCATTCCGTATGTATCATCTCTGTAACTGTGATATATAAAATAATTTCCATCACTCGCTCTTGTGTCGAAATTGCTTACGTCTTTGAAATTCTCGTTGTAAAGACAGCAAATAAATTTCTTTTGTCGACGGCTGCTGTTCCCTCACGGTAGGTTCAACATTTTAAAATGCAGCGAAATAAGTATTGTTTTAAAATTGTATTTCGGCCGTGAACATACAGGTTTTGTTTTTGACGAAGTAGAAAATACTTATAAATTGGCTGTTTCATTTTGATATTCCATTTAACACGGAATTCAAACGAATTTATTCCGAGAAACACATAAAAAAAAAACACAAAGGCGAATTTACAGCCACAAGTTATAAATGCGATTTTAAAATCGCATCTGCGTGAAGCCATCACACTTGATTCTGAAAATTGAGCATCAGGGATTTGCTGATAAAGCGACATTTTATTCAAACGTTTTTGTTTTGGTTCGTATGTTCTTATATCCAAGAGCAGATAAATGCGTCCTTTCATGTTGTTCTTCACGCTCTAGGCGCACAGTTTCTAAGAGCCAAAGTTTAACAAACAGACTTTCGGCGTGGTGATAAAAAATTTATTAATTTCTATTTATCAGGCGAAACACAGCTTGAGTCCTCGACTTTTAAGTTCGGTTAAATTTGGTAAATATGTGATAACTCTTAGGGGAACTAAAAAATTTTCGCTCTTTTGTCACTAATTTATTATTTATGTCTATCTGCGACACTTGCTTCTGGATAACATGTCTTATGCTAATTAAACTAAGTTAGGATATATAGCCGTGTTGCCAGCTTTCTAGTTTAAACAGCGCGGGCTTTAAACTTTAATGTTTTTAAGGATTTTTTCACACAATAGAATTGTGAAACTAATTTTTTGGCTGAAATAGAAACGCCATAAATTTTTTATCGTTCTACCTGTGAATGATCGCCTTGACTGGAAATTGGCGCTCACTCCATGAGAAGGAAAACAGAGGGCTTTGATGCGAAGTTTTCAGAGTATCGTTTTCTTAACGCGAAGATGAAATTAAAAAAAAAACGGAATTTTTCAAGGTTGCAAGTATTGGATATAAACTAATTTAAACGTTCTAGGTGAATATACCAGGAAATCATACGTTTCAATAATTGATGCAACACGCCGAGTTTGGGAAAACTCGTTTGTTATAAAGAAAATATTTTGAAAGCAGTATACAGTTCTTTCTTGCGGCAACATCAACACGACAGAGTTCGACTTTGCCTAAAAGATGCTTGAAAGATTTTTCTTGTCCTGTCGTTCAGTCGATGGATCGTGTACAAAGAGGAGCTGTACGCTATTTAAATAAAGTTTTTAGAAAGGACATGAATGATGAAATTTGACAGGTACTTGTCATTGTTACAGATCGAGTGATTTGAAAAGGAAAGAACTTCGGTTTCTGTCCAGAAAAACAAATAATGATATGCATGGTTTCATCTCAAAAAATATGTACCTATATATGTATTTTATAATCAATGAATGATTCAGAATAAAACTGTGATGTGGTTGGCCTCATGTCCCTATTGCGATTTCCCCCCCCCTCCCCTCCCCTCCCACTCATGCTTTTTCTAAAAGTTGAGTTCGAGGATTTTCACCCATCAAGATAAAGTTTTTTTAAAAATTTTGGATCTGAAGTACCCCTCAAGCAAACATTTTTGCTTTTTTAGTGAATTGATCGAGAACTCCGAATGGTTTTCTTTTGCTAAGCTCTGTGATCGGCTATTTTCTATCCCGCGTCAACCTCTCAACTTATCAGACGCAAACAAAAAAAAACGATGGCAACTTGGTTGCTCGCATTTTCCCGCGTGTCAGAAAGTCTTCTCTCAGCTTTCTATTAATCTGATCGGCCGTTCTGGTCACTTTGGTTATTGGTTTTCGACACTCGATACAAATACGCACCAAACTGAAATTTCGACCCGTACTTTTGTGTAGAAAATTGGAAATTTCTTGAATCTTATCTAAATCAGTAGGATATCATCGGTAGCTAGTCGTTCATTATAGTTTTTTGTTTCATTCGCTTCCTGTAGAGCCACTTCAATTCACTCAAGAAAACATCAAGTTGCTTCTCGACTGGGTTTGGCACCTGGTGATATACTTTTTGATAACACCGCTTCAAGACATGTTTGGTCAAACACAGAGCTCGCCTAGAGAATTCATTCTGTCCTGGGTTCATGAAAAGCTTCCTACTCATAATGTCACAAATTTTGATACAGACTGGCAAAATGGCGTGCTACTCTGCGAGCTTGTAAACGCTACTCAGTCTGGACTAATCCCATCAAAGCTTTATGCAGATAAAACAAACGGTGAAGGAAACGCCAAACTCGGCATGCAAATTGCGCATGAGGCCTTCGGAATACCGCAAGTAATTTCCCCGTTTGATCTAGCGTCATCGCAAGTGGATGAGTTAAGCTTGCTGACGTACCTAGCGCTGTTTGTGAAGTACGAGAGTCTAAAACAAGGGCCTGGGAAGAAGGCGAATAGAGGTAACCCGGTAAATAAGGATGAAGAAATTGCGCATGCGTGTAAAGCATACGGTTCAGGACTGAGAGCTAGTGAACTCGGGAAAGTGGCGGAATTTGTTGTCGAGTTGAACGGTGCTAAACCCACTGATATAACCATAGCAATTGAATGCAAGCCAGTTCGAGGAGCTGTTCATGAAGACAAACCTGATCTCAGCGTGAAACCGCTGAACAGAAATACTTACTGTGTGAAGTATTTACCAACACGACCTGGAGACTACGTCATCAGTATTCTGCATTGTGGGGCTCATATATTGAGGAGTCCATTCTACTTGACAGTTCCAGAGCAAAACGGCCTCAGTTCTCTAAAGACGCCTCTTAGAAATCAGCGGAAAGACCTTGTGGATGGAATTTCAAATAATGGACACGAAGTGTCTTCGAACAAGAACCACTCACCAACGAGTCAGAATGGCTCGCCGAGCCTGTCTTCTGACGATGAGGGCAAAAATTACCCACTTAACCCTCCCTTTCTGACAAATGGATCTATATCACCTGAACTTCCTGCGAATACAGCTGAGGGACCGGGGCTTATCGCCGGGGAGGTCGGCCGTGTAGGGAGATTCAGGGTCGTAACTGATAACACAACCAAAGGCCCTTTGAGCGTCTGCATCAGCTGTCCAGCGGTTTCCATTCCAGTGCCCTACGTCAAAAGTGTGAAGAAGAGCACATTTACAGAGCATAGCGTGCTGTACATCCCCACGGAGCCTGGAGCTTACGAAGTGTTCATAAAATGGGGAGACATTTCCATCAACGGAAGCCCTTTCAAAGTCTTCATAAACAACGTGTTGGAGGACGGCGTCGGCGCGCAAATCGGAGTGAAAGACGATTTAGGCGGGCGTGGAAGAATTCGCGTGTACTACGCAGCCATGTCGACGAATCTCAAGGTGCGAAAGGACAATGAACTGTTGGAGAAGTTCTTAAAGGCAAAAGGGATTTCAAACCGATCGGATTTTGACGAGTGGATTGCGCTAGATGTAGCCATGAACAGAGCGCAAAGAGATAAAGTTTTCTCCAAAGCTGGTACTCGAAAAACACCAATGCTATTTGCTAATGATGTCTTCATCGGAGGTTATGAGGATGTTCTCATTATGGACAAGCAGGGATTGTTTGATAAGTACTTGAAGTAACTTTATATCTCGACCAGACTGTAGCTGAAGAGGAATTCTCCATTGATGTTTCATTTTCATTTTTTGGTAAATGGTATGAATAAAAAAGAAACGCAGAGCATTTTTTGAGTCTGTGATATTCAAAATTGCCTTCAAGTGAAGGTATCTACCAAATATTTCTTTGATGAGAAAGAAAAATAACACGATGGCAAAAATAAACAAGAAACGAAGTAGGATGGCTAAGGATGGAAAAGATTGACAGGGATTGGAAACGAGTACTAAATATTAACTTAAATATTAGTTTGGTAAGATAGAAAAACGCTGAGGAAACAATAATTAAGGAAGAGAAAGCAAGGATGACTTAGAATGGAGAAGATTGGACCGGATTGTTAATGACTATAAAATATTAGTTTGGTGAGATATAAAAACACAGGAGATGCAAAGATAAACCAGGATGGTACAAAGATGGCTAACAATGGAGAAGATTGGACCGGATTGTTAATGACTACAAAATATTAGTTTGGTAAAAAAGAGAAACGCCAAAGGTACAATAATCAAGCAGGAAGGAACAAGGATAGCTGATGATGGAAAATACCGACACGAGTTGAAAATCCTAAACTTAACAAATTCAATAAGATGATTAAACGTGACGTAAAAGGATTGAGACATATCCCTCTTGTTAGAGTCGTAGAAAGTGTGAACGACCTCAGAGGGTTGTTGGACAGTCTCATTGAGTTTTCTTTTACTCGAATCCTTGAATCTCCATATTGTTATTGGAAAAGGTTTGTGTCTGTAGTTCGGACGTTTGGCCTGGTAGTTCTCGGTATGATACAGCTTTGCGATTAGATTTTGCAAATCGAAAATTTAAAGCGAGTGAAAAAATTACGATTTCGTAGAAAAACAAAGATTTATTTATTTGAAGTAACGTAAACGAATTTGCTTAAAATCGTAGTTTATTTATTCTATCTTGGCTAAGCTTTAATTCGTCTTTTTGCCCATGCTTCGAAAGCGTTCTGTAGGAATGCCAAGAATGACTATTTCTTAAACGCACAACGGCTTTGACTAGTTACTTAAATGAAACACTTCTTATTGAAATTAGAAGTTGAAAAACTAATAGGACTCTGTACAAGCTCACCAAGTCAGCTGGGGTGGTGTGGGAAAAAAAAAGGTACTAATATGTGTAATTTATTTATTGTTTGCTTAGGCGCGATTGTAATGCGTCGATCAATCCGAAGATTCAACATCTACTCCCAGGAAACTCCCAGGCATTTGAACTTTTAAAGATTAGTTTATTCAAATTTGTTCAAACTCCCGCCCCACCGGGGCAAAATTGTTGTTCAAATTCCCCACCCAAGTGCCGGATTTGATGTTCATTTTTTTTGTAACAGGTGAAATCAGCGACTGTGACTTTCTACAGATTGACTTTATTTACCTTTAAACACCTCGATATTTAAAGATATGACACTTGTATTCCGCTGGAAAGACTTGACACTTCCGGTTCAAGATTGAAATTCACTTCCACCCCCTCCAGGGCGCGGACGACGGTAAAATACCCGTATGTTGAAGCTTCGAATTGATCGGCGCATAATTCTAATATTAGACTTAATTTATTTATGGTGCGACGCATCGGAGAAGATAATTTGATTTGAATTAGAATAAAAAGACAACAACGACAAGGTATGAAATAAAAAAAAGACTATTTTAATAAGCTATTTAGATAAATGCTTAGTCGCATAAAGTTCAATAAAAGTATCATTGAAGTTGCTCGTGTTTTCTTTGTGCAAACCATATGGCTTCAGGAATTAATTGACAGAGGATCTCAATGGGATAATAAACTAACAGTAAAACGGCCAAAAAATGTAGCACCTAGGCGTGAAAATTGACCACTTATTTAAACTATAAGTCGTAAAACAAGTGAACCGTTAAAATTCTCTCTTTCCACAATATGTCATTTTGTGTTAACCGTTAGCCAGCAGCAACAGGTATACAAACAAATTTTAATACAAACTTGCTTTAAACCAATGCTAGTTCCTTTTCATGTTATTATTGATATTATCTTTTGTAACAATCGTGTAATTCAATTTTTTAGTTGCAAAGTGATGATAAATAATCTTTATATCCATCTCTAGCCGTAAGTTGGTCAAAATTTCAACCGTTAGCCGTAAAAGCCATTACCCCATTAAGAGATTTGCACTCACCATTAGTGGTGAAACTTTGTTCATAAAGTAGCTTATATGGGCCGATATTAGTTTTCCCTCGTGTCACAAATTTTATGTTTTGAAGCTCTAATTACAAATTCTAATCCTAATTAGGAAAACTTTGAGAACTGTGTTAAGCTTGTTATTTTTTGCTTGCGTCCAAAAATGGCATTTGAATCACGTGACCGTGAAGGTGTGGGGCCACGTGACATGGTCTGATAAAACTTTGTTGAAGCAGAGAAAAAAACGACTTAGCTCAATTGAAGTTGAATTAACTTTTCGTCCCGCAACAGTTTTGTGTAAAACTGACCGTTTCTGTTGTTTAGCAGATAGGGAGACTTACTTACAGCAAGAGTCATATTTTCGTCTACAAATTAGTGTAAAAAAACACAAGTCGGTTATTGGCTTTGTGTGCGTTCACGCTTTAACCCTTTAGAGTGACCGGCTTCTAGTTTCTTCCTACAGTTTCACCCTCGGATCAAATATAAAGGTCATGAGAATAACGGCAATGATCACCATTTAAGGAACTCCTGACTGTCAAACAAATTTTACTTTTTTTTCTCCCTTTGTTCTCAAAGGAAATAAGAAAAAACAGTGTGAAGAATGTAAATACCAATTTAAGGGCGTAAAGGAAGGTGGAAACGAAATAATATAATAAGGAAAGGCAGAAAGGAACTGACGGAAAGAAAGACACTTATTTCAAACAAGTGCGTCAAAATAAATCAAAGTCTTCTTCTCAGTAACGTAAATCGACGATACGTGAAAATTGACTGTGTTGGAAAGACGTACTGGTGATTACTTCACCTGGTTTATGATTATACTGTTTAATTCTCCCTACCAGCTTAATGCATTACTGCGCTGTCTGGTATGGAGAATCTACGTTCGGATGTAAACAGTTGGGCAACATGTTGATACCCATCGTCTTCAAATGCACTTCTTGCTGATTATCCGTCGACTTTGATTTTTCCAGGAGTTCAAGGAATACATGCATAGCACAGTTATGTGGCTACTTGTTACCTGCGTGGAAAGATTACATGCAGTTTAATCATCATGTGTTGAAAAAAACATTCGCAGATGAAAATTATCGTGGTTGCGCTGGATGAAACAAGAAAACGGGGAAAACATAAGCTCATGATCTCTTGCATAATAAATTTGAAAGGAACCAACTCGGATTGGATACTACCCACCCCTCCCTCTACAATAGCATGGTAGAATATTTTCGGGCATTGTTTGGCGCGCACGAGCACACGTGCTTCTTACACAGGTCCCAGTTGAAATTTTTTCGACTAATCCAGAATAATGTGAAACAAAGCCAATTTAGTCCCGAAACTTTTTAGGTACTCATTTGCGAACTGTCCCAAAGACAGAACCTTTAAAATTGATCGGAAGAGGTCAAAGCGGCAAAAATTTATTTTTAATGCCATAAGTCATTTGCATTCGTGTCCCGGTTAAGGTCTGTATCGATGAGTTCTTGGTGCACGCGAAGTGACTGTCTCGTGTCACGTGACCTGACTTACTAAATACACCGGTCAAACGTTTGCGCACGTGCGAACTTTGTAATGATTCGGGTGGCGTGCTCTCTGGCTGTGGGATCCAAGTTGTCTCACACTAGTTACTAACAACTACAAAAGCCAGTAAGTCACAGTGTTTCAGAAAGGGAAACCATTTTCGGTAAGGCTCAAAACGGAATGGTAAATCACCAGAATACCAGTACTTGAATAAGGTGTGTGTCCCAACAGTGTCGGTTTTCCTTTTAACTTCTTTTTTTTCCTTTTTACAGTTTTCTTTGAACTTTTCAATTATCTTTCTCTGATTTTGCGAGACAGCGCTGACAACAGTTTCTTATTTTTTCCTCTAAATTTTGGGCGGGAAATTGGTGTGCGGGATGGGGGGTCTGAGGTGGGGTGGCCAAAATAAATCCCCTCGCGCATGCCTGACGTTTGACCGCTATGTTGAATCGACAGCTGTGTCCGCTATGTTGACTTACTAAAATCTTGATCCAATTTGAGCAGCATGTGCCGTACGTGCTTCCTTTCTGACGCGAATTTCTTGCGCCAAGGACTCATTTTCCCTCCGCACGCCGTCGATTTCATTCACAAGAGAAATTACTCGCCCCTGATGATCGCGCAATCTACAAAAGATTTAAGACAATATTCATAGGATTAGACGTTCAATTTTAACCTTCAAAGAATCAAAAAACGTAAAAGCAGAGAACTATATCAGAGTATTTTCATGCACGGCATAATTTTGATCATCACACAGCACAGCTCTTTTTCGTGACGTTCCGTGATGCGTGACTCTTACTAATAAGTTACGCTTTCTCCTAATTTCTCCGTTACAAGTCACGCCATAGTGCTCGCCTTTTGTAGCTAATCGTAAGCTTTGTGATACGTGATTCGTGATTATGAAGAAAGATTCTGTAAACATTTTAGCAGCCGGTTTTTTTCCGGTCTTGCAATTTGTTTGGAAACGAGGGTTAAGGAAAGGAAGAGAATCTGGTAGATAATAATGTTGCATGACAATAATGAAGCTGGACCGTACAATGAAGTAGAGCAGGTTTGTGTCAAGGGTTTTCGTGGGGTAAATTACAGGGAGAAAAATGACCTTTGTTGACAAGTAAGCTTATTGCTTTTCACGTTTCAGTAGAACCGAAGGATAAGAAAATTGGAAAATGGAAAAAGTGGAAGAATGAGAAAAATGGGGAAAATGGGATATGGGAAAATAATTTCCACGTAGAGTTACCTCTCTACTTGTCTTCTCAACTGGGCATTTCCTTGCCGCTCTCGTTCCAGTTCATCGAACAGCAGGTGCGAACGTCTCCTCAATTTAAACATTTCCTCGGAATCTTCCCCTACAAGAAGCAGCGATTTACTAAGCCCTGCCGTAAACAAATACTAGCTAGACTGATGCGCATGTAACAGGTGATGATCACAGAGAAAGTGTTGAGACAATGTTATCCTGACTGAACTCTTAATTCATGAAAAGAATCTACGAGGGATTTAGAGCACCTAGTTAAGAGAATTTAGCGTTGCAGGGTCTATACTTACGGTAAATCCTTGATGGTCTTGTAAACTCAAATGCATTCCGCCTTAGAAACAAAAATAGAAAAAGATCTATGGATTTTGTTTGTTGTATACCTAGTGATGTAGTTAAACTGGGTAACAAATGAACTTGGCCGGTGATAAACAAGCAGAAATCAGTTGCTCTCTCCCTTCCCCGCCGTAGCCACAATTTTTCAATTACCTCGTTGTGTTATCTACCACTGGTGGTTGAGACCACGTGACTGTAGGGGAGCCCGCAGCACGTGGAGAGATTGGACGAGGATATGTCTGTCGATCAATCAATCAATTAGTTAGTAAGGTCATAAACCAGAAAACTGTTAAAATTTTATATGCAGGTCGATGATTGGTGTCTAAAAACACAAGCAGACTTTGAGCAACTCGTCCCGTTAGATTAAGATAATCGAAGCCACGAATTTCTAGCGTAACATCCTGCTTTCCGAAGTAATAATCATAACGCAATTTAAGCACATGTAAGTAAAATAATTAGTAACCGTGATACAAAATGTACATGGCGAGCGTATTTTTAGAGAAGACGAATGAGCACACAAAATACTTATTTCATGTGATTGTGAGTATGACCTGTATAAACTGTATTGTTGCTGACTGATCTCAATTGAGTGTCGAAAGTAATCCAAGATTGCATTAGTTTTGCTGCATACAGTGCGGTCTTTCACTGGCCCCGAAAATTGCCGCTACTCATCCCGTCAGTCAAAGCGGCAAACTGAAACTAGAACTAATCACGACGTGGTCGCCGCGTTTTCCCGCGCTTAACGCAGGTGCCTTATTTTTACTTGATTTTTTTACAGGCTCGTTATGATTTTTTCTTTTCTTTGATTGGCCATTGTGATTACTTTGGTTTTTTTTTCCTTTCCTCTGATTGGCCATTGTGATTACTTTGGTTTTTTTTCCTTTCCTCTGATTGGCCATTGTGATTACTTTGGTTTTTTTTTCCTTTTCTCTGATTGGCCATTGTGATTACTTTTGGTTTTACTTCTCTAAATCGAGAAACGCTTTATCAAAGTAATGTCATTATTGAAATTTGTGATGCAGAATTTGAATATATAAAGATCCTGCCTTTCTTACAGGGTTGCTGAGCGATCGGAAGTAGACTTCACTTACAAGGCAGGCGGTCTGAATTGAGCGCCTGATGTTGGTACGGTACTGGTTGATTTCTTCACTTTCCGACAGGTGGTGTCGTCCACATGATCCAGTTTGTGCAGCATTCTAAAGAGTAAGAAGGGTATAAACAATATTAGTTATAAAACTTCGTGCTCTGTTCTGAATTCTGAAAATTCATGCGTAACTGATATGCGTTGTTCATCCCTTCAAATTCCTCTTCCCTAAGTAACCGCGACAGACAAGGAACGTTTTAACACGATGGCAATTGTTGCGCGCTTCAAATGGATCAACCAATTTTATCAGGCACATGATAATTTCCCAGTCGACCAATACTATGAATTTACTGAACAGCATCAAGTGTTTTTGGCAAACTTCCCATATTGTTCGCTGCACTGACCTCATTAGCCGTTTTTTCGAAAAGAGATCCTCTCCAGCCTTTACGTCTATTGTTATAAGCTGAAGTTTGCCACCGACTCGCCATGATAAAAAGGCAAAATAACTGTAACCAAAAAAAAAAACAAAAAACATATCACTGAATATATCAATAAGAGATAAACGAATTCCTTAACCGAAATCACATTTATATTGGCGAAGAGGAGGCTCTCCTGCCTCCACTAGTTCAGAACTACATTTCTGCCAGCCAGCGCCAACCTCGAAACACGCGTGGCTCTCGTGAGAGCTCTTACGTGCAAGCTCTCCACATCGAATGCTCACCGATGAGATGATTAGATATCTATGAACAAAGCTAGTTCATGGTCTCGCTAACCAACGATTGTTCGGTAAGTCACTGGGTCGACAAACGGACTGTGAAAGCAAAGCGTTCGAGTTTCGAATCCTCGGGGGTACTTGGATTTGACATTCGCCCTTCGACTAAATTCAAGGATAAAATATTATAGATATAATAAATTGAGATAATTAGATTGTAAATATTTAATTTCCCTTGTCTTCTTCATCTTGCCGCCGCTAATTAATCCAGCGTAAGAGGCATTTTTATAAGGAATGGATGTGAGTTTCCAGAACATTAGGAAAACAGTTGATTCAAGTCAAAATTGCGATGATCATGAAGAGACCTAAAAATCGTGAAAAGGATCGAATTTTAGATTTTAGTCACACGCCAATTTCTTTAACTAGACAAGTTTCCAATGCGACATTAATACTTTCTTCCAAATCAAAGTCGCTGCTCGCGAAAATACTCTTATGAAATCAAGTAAACAGAAAATTTGAGCGGTTTTAAATTGGGGATAATTTTCAGCGATATGAGTCATTACTCTACGTCTTTAACTCAACTAAGAAATACTTGGGAGCGGCTCATTCGAAAAGGAAGTCAACAGATCAGTTCAAACATAGGCATGCTTCTCTTATAGAGTTTTTTTTTTCGATCGGGTGGGTCGAGGTGAGACACGGTAATGACCGTTGAATGACGAGACCAAACAACAGTTGCGAAGGAGACGCCGCTTACTGCTGTTCCTCCGTCAGAGAAATAAAATCAAAGCAGTTAATTGCCTTAAAAATATAATTTCATGTAATATCACCACGGAAAGCAAATTGAAATTCTATTTCATCTAAAATAGGCCCTAACCAACCACATGTTGCGATCTCCATTCTTTGAATAAGCGAAGATACACTGAAAAGAAGGAGGCTCCCGTTTCGGTTGTTGCCGATCTGTACTTTCTGGTTCTTTACAAGGAATTACAACGCTTTGGAGTTAAGTTCAAAGTAGCTAAAAGCAAATTTAATTGGTAGAAAATGCCAAAAAAATAAAAATCTATGCGATTTTTTTTTAGTTGGTTTGGGTTGTGCGGTTAAAATACGTGATAAAATGCAGAGTTTTTTACATGGAAATGACACGTAATGGAGCGAAGTCTAATTGGCGAAATGGAATTTAACTGGTGGAATAAAATTCAAGCGCGTGCATGCCCAACGTTATGTAATGTAATGAGTGGGCATGTTTGGTCATAGCACGAGATGGAATATAAGTTGTCTGGCTGGGTCGCAGTGAGTAAAGGAGCGGTTAAAAAATCCTGTTAACTTAAATGATACAAAAAATGATACAAAATGATACAAAAAATGACTTGCCAACCTTTCTAATCCCGATGTATCTCGAACTAAAGCGACGGGATTCTCACAAAGACCTCATACCATTATGCTTACAAAATGAGCCTACAATTTCTGGTTAATGTCACTCTTGATTCCGTGACATCATAGGAAAGAGAAGCGCTCTGATTGGTGCGAGATATCCCATTACTGTGATATGATTGGTGCGAGATACAAACCTTAATGCGGCGATCTGTTTGGTGCAAGATACATACCCTAATGCGATTATCTCATAGGTGCGAGGAACAAACCACTCAATACCCTAACGTAGAGTTCTTTTTCTATTTTTTGGGTTGTTTTTTTTCTTATTTTTTATAAAAATATTAACCCAAAAAGCCATCACCGTGTTTTTTTCTCATACATGTAAAGAACCACCATAATAATCTTTGCATCACTCACGATAATTTTCTTGAAAATATATACGTATTTCTATATAGAACCTCCAGTAACAAACTGGCTAGTTTAACGAGTAAGTTTTTCGGGCGAGGAAAACGCAATTATGTTCCCACTGCTCGACTAACTGAAATCAGTGTCAATCTTCGGTGTAAAAATCAACCTATTATAGAAGATGTGAATAAAAATCAATTACCTTGGCTTGAACTTTAACAGAAGAAGCAAAATTTCTCTTTGGGTTTGTGGGAACAAATATCGATGCGTTAAGTCCGCTAGATCCTTGAATACTGCTACGCCAGGAGAAGGTGCCACTCAGTTTAAGGGAAAATACGTCAGTCCCTCGTTACCTGGCAGAAACTATCACACATTAGAACAATGTAGTTTGACGTCAAATGGGCATCTCTTTTCGGAGTCCATTAAGTAAAAGAGAAATGCCGATTACCGGAAAGATAGTTAGTTTCTGATTGGCTATTAATAATGCATTACGTGGACAGCAATGACTCGTCCCCAATCTTCTCTCCCACTACAACAATATACTAGTTATAAACTGTTGGACATATACTCAGTTTTCTCCACCACTCCTTCCCAGATTTTGGGCAAGGAACAAGGCGAGAGGGAACGTCAAGGGACTGGGCTGAGGATGACTGGTTCCGCACCAGCCCACGTGCTTGAAATCGCGAAAAAGGTCGCACTAGGAAGCTAAAGGGAAACGTAGAAAATTTTCCCTGTGCGTTTAGCTAAAAGATTATTTAATATATACCAGTATCAGTAGTTTTCAATTCACACTGTGACATGTGGATATCAGTCATAGAATCCAGAGTCTAGAACCCACAGCAAAGTTAGCATCATCAAACAAAGAAAAAAATCACCTCTCAATTACAAAATGCAAAGCGCATTTTTTTTAATTTTGCATTTGTGATTACACAATGGTTGAACGCTTGCTTCCGTCCGCAATGGCCTCGGTCCTGAATTCAAACTGCCTCACTTTCGAAATGAGGTTGTACGCTTGCTTTCGTCCGCCATGGCCTCGATCCTAAATTTAAACTGCCTCACTTTAGAAATGAGGCTAAGTGCCAACAAATTACTTGCGAAAATGACTTTTTTATAATAATACTTATATAGCACCAATATCAATATTGCTATTTTTGCCTTGATAATAAAAACCAGTGTTCATATCAGAGGCTCCAGCTTCGTTTTAAAACGGGAGCTTGTGTCATGCATGGGTTGAATATGTTGCTTGGTTCTCATCTATGCATCAAAGTATTTTCGCTAAGTTCTTCAAAGCACAACACTCAATACTCAATTCTTTCCTTGACGAAGATTCACTTGGTGGACGTCTTAGTACACAATTCTATTTGTTTATATATTTAATCACCCACTGTAATCGCACATTCCTTAATAGGCCTCACTTAAGATCAGGAGATTGCGTGACACAAGAGTGACCAACTATTTTGAAGAAGGCGTGACACACGTACATCTTATCGGCCTCTTTCACAGATCAACAAACACATGACGATATCTCTCTTCCAAAACCCCAGTGGTTGTTCCAAAATCCAGTGCAAAGGTAGCCACCGGGCCCATGAGAACGGAACATCGGACCGGTTATAACGTAATCAGGAACCATATTTGAAAACGGCGATCTTGTCATCGGTGGAATCGTGGGCGTGGCCAGGCTCACGGCGTCTCGAATGCCATCAATGGAGTTCCCAGTAATAATTAATGCCAGGCGAGAGCCAGCGTGTGGTGCCAGGAAAACCGCGCCGGTCTGGGGAGAGGAGAATGTACAACGACCTGTCGGGCAAAAGATGTTTTAAAAAAAGCGTCAAGTATCTTCCTTTTGAGGTTGTATTCCTTCTTTCTCGAAGCTTTGAAGTGCATATCACGTAGAGGAAGGAATATGTAGGGGACACGGTGACCAAGTGATAATCGAGTTCGAATCTGGATTGAGGGGTCTGGGTTCGACATCTTGGGGAAAGTCATTTTACCCCCTCCACCCAGGAGCATAAATGGATACGACGAGCTGGGAGGGGGCGGGGAGGAGGAGGAAAAGGAGGGTAACCCTTCGTTGCACTAGCATCCCATTCAATGGAAGTGGCTTTGTCCGTTGTTGCTCTGGTATTGTGGGCTGCTTGATTAATAACACGTCTAAGATGATGTACGGCTCTGCATTCAATTTGTCAAGAAATTTCCCGTAATACTTACCCAAAACCAGAGTGTTACTCTCGTACTTCAAGGGGACTTTCTCGTGAAATTGTTTAATCCAAGAATTTTCTTGAGGACTTCCAACGAGTATCAAGTTATACTGTTCAGCGGTTTCCTGGTTTAAGTCAGTATCAGAAACGACTGGCACCCAGGCGTCAGACGTTAAAAAGAAGAGGTTCGCTATATACACTGCAAACTGCCTCAAGGTTGTGGTAATGTGATTCGCTTGAGATGAGGTACCTGAATAAGAGGAAGCGAAAAATTAAAGGCACTGACTAAATATGTTAGTGCAGCGTACGACGAATCATTAGTGAATTTTGAGGGATTATGGCACTTCAAGTAAAGCATAGCTTTATTCCTCGGTTAAAAACCAAGAGCTGTATATTTTGTTCTATCTGTGCGCAGTAAAAACATGTAGGTATATTTTAGGAATTTGGTTAAGCAACTAAAGCGTTGTTTCCGTGAGTGGGAAGGTAAGGACATTGTATCTTTGTTTAAGAGGAGAGCATTGTATAGTTAGTACAGAACTTTCCAAAAACAACAACGACAACAACAACATAAAAACGATAAACTAACTGAAAAATAGCAAGTGCGCTTTCAACAGTTCTCTTGAGTGCCACCTGACTCTATTCACTGTGTTTATAGCGTCAGAAACAACTGCTGGTACTTTCTACCAAAAAAGGTAAAATAACAGTTTTCTATGGTACAATAACATCACAGTAGAAATAACAAAAAAACATAAAAGGAGCAATAATGATACATTGTAACTGCCAGAGGTTATTTTACATCACACAGGTGAATGATGCTTTTCACACGCGTTGACTGGATCGGGAGCGATTAGCAATAACAATTCGCCTCCAAGCAGCCGAAGAGAAAAAATGACGCGTCAAAAATTTAATTTACGACCATTTTTGGCATATCTACAGAAATAAACTATTTTTTTCGACGTCTGTTTGTTATTTACTAAAACTGTTCATCGAAGTGCGTGGAGCCGAATAGAGGCGGATATTTCAGTACCCAGCTGCGAAAATATTAGGTGTTCAACGATTGAAAGAGCAACCAGATACACTTGAAACGTCTCACACGACCAAATAAGGTCACGTCGTCAGATAAGAAAACCTGAACCGCAAATATTTCCTAGAAATTGTTACATGACGCCAGACAGATCAAAATAACTTTTCACAGAGAGAGATAAAACTCGTTAAATTTCAACAATCTCCACTTCCAGGAATTTCGTTTGTCATTCTTCTTTACTTTTTCCTCTGTTGTATGACAATCTCTCAAGGTTACATTCCTTAGAATCAACTGTTTTCTCCAGTATTACCGTATTTATTCGCCTATAAGCCGAGCGATTTTTCCAACAAATTAAACTGAGAACAGGTAAATTCTCGCCAAGGTAGGGGGTTCGGCTTATAGCCGAGTATTTTCGCCAAAAAAAATTTACGGGTACTTAACAAGATTCGAAATTTGACAACAGGAAAAACTGGCCAATCAGAAGCGGTCATTCCCACGGTTTGTGTAAACATTGCAA